TATTTAAAAGAAAATGACTCAAACAATTATGAATTTCCTGCGTACTGACCAATCTAATTAGACCTGATCTGAATCACCCTGTTGCGGTCAAATCACATAAAAGCAGCATCAGAAACCAGATTAAAATGTATTGCATTGTGTTGGAAAGGGAGAGCTGATGGCTGAAACTACCTGCACTCACCTTGCTTTGTCAACACACTACATGTTGTGGGTTCAGCCTGAGCATTAGGCTATAGAGTGTGCTGTGACACTATGTCAGAGCCATAACAGCCAGCCTCACTGTGAAATCCCCCATACAGATACAACCTGACACACACGTTTTCCTTTAGCAGAACTAAATTATTTCCAAGAGCTAACTAACTGCAGGCCTTTAACTGAAGATGTACACCTTCTGTTGCCGTCTAGAGACTAAACAGACACAAGCCTGTAGCATATTTTTCATCACAACCCATCATTTAAAAAGCTACACAAAGTCACAATTATTATTTCAGACTTTTTCAAACATTGTGTGGGAAACTGTACATCACCACTACTTACAGTAAGCAACCAGTGACAGGAGACTAAACTCAACACAGTGGAACACTACATTAACCAAGAAAGCCCCAAACCACTAAATCAGCATCTGATTTGACATAACATGCCCTCAGGAAACTAAACACAACAGCCTTCATGTTGCCTGACAGGCAAACACCTCCCACTGTGCTCCCATTGTTGTCTTGTCTTCTAAAGTTTCTCTCTTTTAATTTATTTAAGAAGACTGTTTTTACAGCCTCATCCAAAAAAAAGGGGACCTGACCTTGAAACACTCGCAGCAGCACGACAGAGAAATATAGTCACAAAAAACACATTTACGTTTATTTTTCATAATCAGTAGACTAATAAACTCTCTGAACCATTACTGTCTCCCTAACTCCACAAAGCCCACAAAGTGTGCTCCTACAACAAGATCAATGACATGACTTCATGCACACACACAGGTTTACTTCTCTATAATAACAGCTAACCAGCACATTCAGTACCTCAGGGCTGCTTGTATCTCACAGACCTGCTCTTCACGGAATTCAACAATGCTGCTTGATTATCACATGAAAGGTGAGATGTCACTCTGTCAAAGGATCCTCTGATAATAATGGCTTTAATCCTCAGTGCCAGAGGAGTATATACATACTTTCACCATTTGTCACCACATAGTTTCTCCAGATGGGAGTGGACCGAAAAGAAAGGATCTCGTTCCTGCTAGCTAAACTAAAAGCTAACAGCAGCTGACGAAGAAACACAAATGGTAAGCTATTATAGAGGACATGATCAAGACGCTGGTGGTAATCCTATCCAAACCAATTCAGAGTACTTTGTTTTAAAAACACTAATCTTGCCAAAGTACAATTAAAGATTCAAATAAAAAGATTAGAAACTGGGTTCTTGCCTTACCCTGTGTGATCTAAAGCCAAAAAAGTTTATCTCAAATGAATCACCAACAAAAGAACATCTGAATACAAATCATGTGATTTGTATGTTGTACTTGTAAATATGCAAATTGTACCGTTGTCATAACTTAAAAACGAAATCACTCGATACTTTAAACAACTGCCAGCTATGTTTTACATCCCTAAAATGTATTAATTTGAAATCTGTAAAAGAACAGGTGACTATGCAAAATTGAAGACAAAATTAATAATAATAAATCCGATTCAATAGCAGATTCTGATTCATTTAGATAAAATGCTATCAAACCCCAGCCCTAAATAGGGTCATAATATTCCTGTTAAGTAACAGACAAACCATGGGGGGACATGTCTACAGCTCATAGGAGCTCTACACAGATATGTTAACAAAGCAGTTCTCTGGAAATGTTTGCCTTGAGCTTTTAAAATCACTTGAGAAATGATCAATGCAAGTAAACTGTGACCTCCCACTATCAAGGCAACACAGCCCGTTCTTTCCAAGCTTGCTGAAGTAAACACTTGACCTTTGCATGCGTTTTAGAAAGAAGAACATCAATATAAAATCCTGTTGGGAGTTGAAGGCTGGAGCTGTTCAGTTTGTTGGTTGTTTTTGTCATGTTATTATCTTGCTCCAAGTATTTATCCTTTCTTTGTGCCCAACACATCCAAATTTGCCCATATCACTCCGGTTCTCCGCTCGTTGCACTGGCTTCCAGTGCAGTGGACAGTGCAATTTAAAGTTTTGTTGTTTGTCGTTAAGGCAATTCACGGACTTGCTCCGCAGTATTTATTAGAGTTGCTGACAGTGTATACCCCGCGCAGAGCGCTGCGATCCGCAGAGCACCTGGCACTGGTGGTCCCACAGACACGGTACAAGAAGTGGGGTGACCGATCCTTCGCTGTCCACAGTGCTAGACTGTGGAATTCGTTGCCGCAGGAGCTTTGGAATATAACAGTTATCGATTTTTAAGTCAGTTTTAAAAACTCATCTTTTTAGGCAGGCCTTCTTATCTGACATTTAATGCTTTTGAGTTCTCTACAGAGATAATGGTGTGTTATTTGTTTATAGACTGCAATGAGGTTCTATGTTGGCTATTAGGTATTGTACAGCACTTTGTGCTAGCATGTGCAACCTACCTCACCAGGCTTGCATGACAAATCAAAACTTGCACTAATGGAGACTTTGCAATTAATCATTTTTAATGTTTTTATATCTACAGTGCATAGGTGTGGGGATCTGTTTGTGGGTTCAAACAGAGGAATAATTAAAGTAATGGGCTTTACAGTTAAGGTAGCTGAGGTGTGTTCAAGGCCACTGTATGTTAACCCTGACAGCATGTCCATGTAATTGGCTAAGGCTTTCTTAGACTCAAACTAGTAGTGAGCTGTAAAGTGCTTTAGAAATAAAAATTATTATTATTATTATTCTTTACAGATGAGGTGCTGTATACAAAAACAGATGCAGTGCTTTACTTCAACCTTGGAATCTTTAGTATAAACACATCACAGTGCTGCTGTACATATATGCATCATAAATCCAATTTACCAACAAGCAAACATTTATGTGCAATACACTGAATTACATTCATGTTTCTTCTAGTGAAACAAACTGTGGAGGTCTGGTCCACATGCAACAATACTGTGAAAGGTTCCTCTGTACTGAGCCACAAGTGGCTGTGGACAGTGTCAGAGGGGGAATGCCCCTTGTTTTAAGAATTTACATATACTATTTCTGCATCCCAGAGTATGTCAACCAACGCAGCATCATAAGTCCATGAAGTCTGGATTAAGCAAGTCATAATTAAGGTGCAAAAAGTCCAGAATTGTGTGTATGAGACACATTTCTCTGTTAATCCTGTTTTGCAACCAGGTTCTTAAACTTGGGCACTAAGGTTGTAATAGCTGGTTGACGAGCCCTTTTCAGAGAAGCACTGCAACCCTGAACTCATCCAGACATTGTTTGGAGGAGCTGTATGCGAGAACACAAATTTCCAAATAAGTTGAACCAGACACTGAATGGACTTTACCCTGACAGCCCTCAGTACAAAGTCTGTGTAATGCCCAACTGGGACCATGTGTGAACACAGCAGGTTACTGTCTGGAGAACTCTGGGTAGTGGATATGTTGAGGACCTTTCTGCATGCAACTGGCACAAGACTGGACTGATACAAACACCCAGTGGTGAAGTAAAAGGATCATTCACATGAAGATGCCAACGAAAACGTCAAACTGGAAAGGTGCCCAGATTCAGGAACTTCCGCTGTTAAGGACCAACACTAGAATCATCAGACCAGAATTCAGGAAACGGCCTCCTGTGCATTCTACCCAGGCAGCATGCGTTGCATAACAAAAGTATTTCCAGCAGGTGAGAATTACTATGTGTGCAGGTGAGAATTACTATGTGTGCTACATGTGTGAAAAGACAACTCCAGACTTTGTTCATACCTGATTCAGGAGAATTAATTTTATAATTTTTCTGCTGGTAGCTTGATGTCAAGTTTTCAGGTGGTTCATAGCTCTGTACTCTGAGGAGAGTTGGGTTCAAAATGGCCACATCTGGTGTCACAGAGGTGTTTAATTAATCTTCACAATGACCAGCTGTTTCACTGAAAACTACAAACACCATTCCTGTGCTTCTCTCTGATAGAATTAATTGGTATTTTTAGGTTTGCTCATCCTCAAGTGTGTGATTTTGCATGGCAGGCCTTCAACAGGCCTTGCCACTTTTTCAACCTGTCTGACAACAAGTTTGCTACCTTAAATGCAGCTACTAACCTAAAACACATGACAGGTGAGGTGACTTGTAGTACCGTCACACACAAGCAGTCTGGATCAGGCTGCAGTGAAATTTTGTTAAGGGTTATGATTAAATAGGCTTTCTGTCGAGATTTAAAGGTGGGAGATGTGCATACGTTTTGTGAG